TTGCCCTAGGCCCAATCTCAGCCCTGCAGATGCCATCTCAGCACCATGGACAGCAGCACACAGGCCTGTGCTCCCCAGCAGAGACAAGACTAAAACAGGAGAAGAGCAGTACAAGAGGACTGGGGGAGCAATACATGGATTCAGTGTAAGAAATGGGTGTGGTTTCAGGAATGACACCGAGTAAGATATTTGTATACAGTATACATAGTGAACCAGGAGGTGCCTTGGTGTTTTACTATGGACAGGAGTAGAGAAACTCTTAGAGAACATGGGGTACACAGGCAACAGATGTCACAGAACCTGGTGAAAGTTCAAGCTTAAGGCAGTGACTATGCAGCAGAACAAAACCCTTATGGGTACTACTCTGTTATAGTAGCTCTTCATGTGATAAGCAGCATCCTGGCTGCAATAGTTTGTATAGTAGTCAATTTTCTCTTACTGGACAAAATACTTGACACTTGCATCTTAAAGAAGGAAAAGTTTATTTCAGCTCATGCTTTTCAGAGTTTAGTTCATGGTTGCCTGGCTGCAATGCAGAAATGGCATGGGGAGGAAATCTACTCAGTCAGAGAGAGACAGATGCAGATGCCTGGTGCATGGCCCTAGCAGCCTACCCCTCCTGCCAGACCCAGCCTGGCCCTCCTGCTAACAACATTCGGCTGTGACCTCCTCATACTAATCCACTGTGGAGTGCAGCTTCCCTGTGATACACCCACTTTCCAAAAACCCCATCTTTAAACCCATGAGACTTTGGGGGGACATCCAATTCCAAACCACAACGGTGAAAGTGAAGAAAAGAGGGGGATAGATCATAGAGGACTTCTGGAGGTCAGGCCTGTTGTAGCAATGTTCTTAGCTGCCATGGGAGACTCGGCATCAGCCATGGACCCAACTCCTGCAGGGAGGTGCTGGGGAAAGTGCTTGTTACCAGGCCTAGGGTTGTAAGCTGGGGTTGTGCAGGGGGTTCCTTGCCAGGAGCACCCTGGAAAGGATGCACAGTGACATTAAGGAAAATCAGTGTGGTGAGACCCAGAACTCATAGCCGTCTCAACATTGGTACTGCTGCAACTCCACTTACTATGTGGATGTCCAGAAAACCCTGATCTCGTGGTAACAGACAGAAGCAGCTAAGTGCTAGATTATTTGTCCACTCCCAAGGCTGAGCCGCACATGGTTGAGTCAGCATTCTTACCATCTCTGTCATTGCCTGGTTCTCCACTGGAAATACTTGTGGAATTCCAGCAATGAGAGGAGAAAGATCGGCACTGAAACCCTGAGGTGCTCACTGTTGCACCTTGAGCAGAGGATTAGCAGCCTGCAGTATTGGAGCTGCTTGGAGCTCGACCTTTTTCCTGAAGGATGACTTTCCTTTTTGGTCTTTTTGACACAGGGTCTCACTATGCAGTTCAGGCTGGCCTTGAGGTCACTTTGTAGCTCAGGCTGGTCTCAAGCTCACAATGATCCTCTTGCCTCAGCCTCCCAGTGCTGGGATTACAAGTGTGTGTCACCACACTTGGCAGGATGAATTTTTCTTAATGACTTTATTTTTTAAAGCTAGTCCTTCACAATAAACTTCATAGGATTTGTTTCTAGAGCTGAGGATGCAGCTTAGTTGTAGAGGGCTTGCACAAGGCCCTGAGTCCAAGCCCCAGTACCACAGACATACAAATGTTTTATTTTTATTTTTTTGGAGATCGAACTCGGACCTTGTACTTGCCACAGAGCTACTTGTGCCACTGAGCTATATCCCTGGCCCATAAAGATTTTCTATCTTGTCAAATGTAGACTTTTTAAAAAACAATTTAATCTGGCCCAAGCTGACTTTTTTCAAAAAAAGAAACAAGCACTTGGTAATAAAAACCTTAATTTTGGGGGGCCTGGGAGATAGCTCAGTAGAATAAGCGCTTGCCTGGCAAATGCAAGGTCCTGAGTTCAA